TGGTCTTTCTTGTTACAAAGAATTGTTACAATATTTGTGAAGCCCTAATATAATTACTAATCAAAATTGCTGACTGAAGACGTCTTGAAAATTTTGCAATTTTCACTTTTTATGGTCTTAATTTTTTGGTGGTGAGCTTTCATGCTGTCTTGGCGGGCCAGATGAAAAGCCTCCACGGGACAGATCTGGCCCGCGGGCCGTATCTTGGGCACCCCTGTCCTAAACCGTCGATAAGGTCGGTTGAGTCTTGACAAATTTGGATCGCAATCTCGATGAACATTTCCCTTCGAAAAAATCGAACGGATATGAAGATGTGAACAACAAAGGAAGAAAAAATCGGGTAAATTAGGATTGGGGCACCATTTCAGAACTTGTGAGCCAGTCTGAAATCTCAATAGGTATCAGACAATTGTCTTCACACTTGAATCAGAGAAGTTACACAACTGCGGTTCCATTGAATAATATTTCTTTAAAATAAACGCGGAAACCAGTACATAATTAATGAGTAAAAGGACTACATACCTTTCCTTCCGCGTGACTAGCGGTTTCTTCAATTTTCTGGAAGTCGTGCTCCAACTTCTGCAAATTCAGCTTCAATGCATTGGAATTATCCCATGTGCCTTTCCGGTCTGCTTTTGCCGTATTCAACGCAGCATCTGCAGTGGCAATTTTTTCCTTGACCTTCTTCATCTCTTGATTTTGTTGGTCGACAACATCCTTCGTAAATAATCAACAGTGAATTACGAAAACCAATAATTCTGAATATTAAGAATTTAAGATACTGTAACTATACGATGGAACACTGCGATGCTGCACAGCTTGTGATCATTTTGTTCGATAACCTTATTTCAGATCATTCCGAATTTTTTGTGTGATCTGTTCAATATTTTTTTAATCCGGGTACTCGGTCATCGGTATGGATAATAAATCTTTCGTGTGAATAAATCATATCGGTTCAACTTGTTAGTATCATCGTACACTACAAGGAAAAAATATCCACAATGTAAACAAATCATCAGAGGCGTTCATAAAACGCGCTGATTCGGCGACTAACGAAGATAGGGTATGAATTTCATAATGTAAAAGTTCAAACTGAAAAAAACAACAGAGGACAAAATTTTTTTTACCGAAGCTTCTTGGAAGCGTTTTTCTTTTTCCGGAAGCTGTGCTTGACGATTCTGGATCTCCGTCTTTATATCCTGAATTTGTTTATCAAGATCACTAATTTCCTTGTTCACAGCATCCACATATGCCTCATGGTCTTGTGCATCCTGAAAACATTTGAATTTTTATGTAAAACCATGCATATACATATACTGTATATACATAAACAGACCAGAATAATCAAAACCAACCTTTTCCAAAGCTGCAGCCTTATTCGCAGACGATTTCGCTCGTCTTTCACACTCCACTAGTTCTTTCTTGGCTTCGTCCATGTAATTCCGACTGACCTTGTTTGCTTTTCAGTTCTTCAATTTCTTTCAATAGCTTCTGATGATCCGAGAATGCTAAGCGCTGTTCGAGCGCTGAAAATTCGTAACGCTTCATGTCCAGCTTTTCTTTCAGCTTTCGGCATCTTTAAAAATGCATTACGTCACGATAAAAAAAGGGAAAGGATTAGGCGAAACCCACACTCACTTAGAGGCTGTATTTGGTGAAATCATCGATCTATTTCTCATCTGCAACTCTTCCATCAGACGTTTAGCTTTATTTTCAAGCTTGATGTACTTCTCCGTTTCTTCCAAAACTTCTTCCGCTTTGTCTCTGGCACCTGATGAAAAAATCAACGAAACAAATGCTCAAGACGCCACCTGCTCGAGGCAAGATTCAGCCAAGTCATATAAACAATGCAAAACAAAATGTATGGCAAGAACCTACAGTTTCAATTCATCTTGCAACAAGAGAGCGCAGATGGACCGAAATTATAACGGAATTTTGACACTTGCCTCCAACCATGATACCCCGAGGGTCGAACGAATCTCCATCAATTGTTACACATCGTCTGGCAACTTGCGGATGATTCGCCAATTTTTCGGCAGCGTCCGTGCTCATACAGATCAATTGTCCCCCGAAAATCCACCTCATAGCCCTTTCGAATCTCGGTTCGCACTCAATGAGTTCCAACGCCCGCCAAACGCGATCCGTGCCAATGAGCGCTCGGGCTGTTCGCAGAGTACGGTCATCAATCATGGAGCTATGGATCTTGTCCAACGGAATGAAGGTTACTCGTCGCTGGACGCACTTATTCTCCAAGATGGCGCGACTCGTGGATTCCGTATCCACAACCACGTTGTACAGCTGCCGTATGGAAGGAAAATTTCAATCATTGCGAATGTTTCGGGATTCAAGAATTTAGCGTCAGTACTTCATTTGAAGAAAACGGCCATCAACAAAATACAATCAGGGTCGACTCAAAGGTTTGCCAACCTCGCACTCGTCTTCACAGAATTTCCTCAACGAAAATTATCTTGCAGCATTATTCAATCCTCTTTGAATTTCGTTTCAACGTTTGCCCAACCAAAATCAAGTGTAGATTTGAAAGTAGACCACATTCCTTCATGGGAAAAATTTAACCACCAAACTTGTGCATGAATTGGGAATTTGCAAGCGGCAAGGAAGTTGAAAAAAATTACTTGAGAGAAAATGATAAAAATCTGACATCCGTTCGAGACTAAAAAAAAGCTTTTCAATTGTAGCCATTTCAGCATGAATGCGGTAAGGGAAGCCCTAAAATGCCAAATATTGAACAAGAATTCATCAAAATCAGGGTTGACATTGAGCTCAATCTTCAGAAACATGAAGAAAACGCTGACTACGACATTTTGTGTTCAGCATTTTGACTCAAGAACTTCGAATATTCAAAAAACTCTCCAACGCAGCATAATTTTAGAAGTGTTTTTACGAATGGATTGAAAGGTCGTTGAAGGCGGTGGAACGGACATCAGACAGCCAAAAAATATGAAGAACTCAAATTAGTTCATGAAGTGATGTATCAAGTGAAACTTTCTTTCGTTTCTCTAAAATAACCTCCCATCCCGGAAGAAATTTTGAACCAACCCCCAGTGTGAAGCCCTCAAACTTTAAAATCATTCGAAAGAAATAACGCACCCTGCCTCCAGCAGCGACCTCAATTGCCGTACGAAACATGGGATCCTTCACCGTGAACAGCTTTGCAACGATACCGAAGACCTTTGATCGATCGAACCCAGGGAATGGATCACGATATCCAAAAGCCAGCCTCGGATTTCTGAAATTCCATCATTATTAATAAAGGAATGCCCCTGAAATTTTAATAAATGAACCTCTCGTCAAAAGTCTTCAGGGAGTCCTTAATTTCCTGTAGCTCCCGTCCAAGATTCTGGACTTCGTCTTGTTCTTTGGAGCCTTCGGATGCATCGAAGTTGAAGCGTTTCAGTTCGGCCTAGAAACGACAAGGAAGTCGAATAGAACAAATTCAAAAATTACGAGCGATAAACTCGTTCAGAAATAACCAATGTGCATGGTCGTTAGGTTCTTCATGACATGAATACCAGTATAACATAGCTTCATTGTATGGAGTTAGACTGCATAAAGCCGAAGTTCGGGAACGAAACTGTGTCGTGACGCGAGTATAAGCAAATTCGTTCGCCTACTTTCTTCAAGCTTTCTTTGCAAAGCGGCTTTCAATGGTGGCATGGTAATATTGAATTGTTCAAGCATACCCTTCAGTTCTATGCACTTCGCTTTCGCATCTGAAATGATTCGTTTTTCGTTCGCCTACTTTCTTCAAGCTTTCTTTGCAAAGCGGCTTTCAATGGTGGCATGGTAATATTGAATTGTTCAAGCATACCCTTCAGTTCTATGCACTTCGCTTTCGCATCTGAAATGAAAGCACTTGAAAGAATGCATCTTCAAAGATGGAAATCTATATCTACTGCATTACCATCAAGCTGAGTTCGCAACGAAGTTTCATCTCCTGCAATAATACCCTTGGATGCATTTTCTACTTTCAAAGTCGCTCTTTGCAATGCCTCTTGATCAGCATCGCGCTCAGCTTTGAGGGCTTCCCATGTTCTGTCTCGGTTTTCATGCGATTTCAACTGCGCATTTAAGCTTGTTTTCTCCTGCGAACGATTTAAAATAATCCGAGTTTGCTTCAGGAGCTTATGTTCACGTCCATTGATTAATACAAATTGTAGGTACGAAATACCTCTAGTATTTTGTTGTTGAGGTAATCAAGAGCATGAAAAACGTTCCAACTTCGATCTCAATAAAAAAGCATATACAGTACTGCACATAGAAATACGTATACAGTACTGTACTCATGCGAAAATTTCAACAGTATTGATCTAAGAATGGGACCATTCAGCTTGCTACAGTAGTTAATGCAAGGAACAAATTTGGCCATTTCTCACAGAAATGTATCTAAATCACTCACGGACTCCAAGTTTTTCTCAAACGTTCGTAACTTCTTGTCCAATTCCTTTATGGAGTCGTGTCCCATTTTAAGATCTGAGCGGGCCACTTCCAGAGACTTGCTCAAACCAGACATGGCTCCCATCAAGCTGTTGAGCTCATTTCTTGGTACCTACACGGATGGAAAGGAACACTTATTTTATATTAAAAATAAACAGTTAAAAAGGTACAAAACTTACCAATAACTGCTTTGTTTCGATTTCACAAATGAGTTTATCCAATCGAACGATCTCTCCCTCTTCAGAAGAAATCGACGACTGCAGAGCTTCAATTTTCTTCTTCACATTTTCTCGGGTTGCTTCGGTTTTCTGGAAGGCTTCCTGTGAATTTTTCAAATTTGAACAGATATAGAACGCTTTCATCAAGCGAGTCAACAAAATAACATACGAGAGTCTCATGGTAAACATGCATCAAGTACGCCTGTCTGTGACTGGCCACAGACTTTTGAATATCTTCATACTCTGCATAATTCCGCCGATCCTTCTCCAGTCTTTCCAAAGTCGGGTTTATGTTATCTCTCAGTAGCTACAGAAATATAAAAAAAACTTGACTTCAATATGAAATAAGCGACATAACAGTTCACTCACGTGCTCAATTTCTTGCAATTTGACCTCCTTTTTGTCGATTGTATTCAAAGCTGCCAATTTCTTATGCTCGTACATTTTCGTACCTGCAGCTTCTTCTATCATTCCCAATATCTAAAAAATAAAATAATTCAGGATAACGATGGGTCTTCGGAAAAATGAACAACTCATGACGAACTTCGGCCGGTTTCGCATCCAGCATCTTCGCAATTTTCCCTTGCATAATCAGAAACGTAGGATTGTTCACGTTTAAATTAACGGATCTGAACAAATCGTGTACTTGAGTGTTGGACATAAAAAGTCCTTGCACCAGATATCGACTTTTCCCATCCAACACAACCTGCAGAGCAAAAATTTGTTTTCAGAAAATTTACATGACCGATGTGCATATAGAAAAATAGGATGAATACCTGGCGGGTAATCGTGATAGAATCAACATCTTCATATCCCACCGGTGATGCGCTTTTGTCTGTATTATCGAACGTAATGGAAACGCTCGCAGTTTGAGCTTTTCCTTGTCCACGCATGTAAATGAGATCTTGAAGATTACCCGCTCGGATCTACAATGAAACGAGTCGTATCACTTTAAACACGGGAGATAGCTCGTCTTCTTACCTGAGTTAAGTTGGATATCCCGAGAACGAAACATATAGCATCGAGGATGTTCGATTTCCCAGTTCCATTGAGACCAGTGATAGCGTTGAACTCTCGATCGAAGTCGGGTATAACAGTACGATTGGCGTAGGATTTGAAAGCATCGAGAACAACTTGTTTGATATACATTTTCCTGATTAATTCATCGACGAACAACCGAAAAGATCACTGCCTGGCCGAACTAAGACCACGGATAACGATTCGCACGTTCGCTCATCTTCAGACAGACAAGAATTGTACAACATACATTTTCTGACCCGATTCATGGCAATCAAATAAGGTGTACGTGTTTATTATCGCCGGAATCACATGCAAAGAATATTGATGACCATCCGACCTCGTACAGACGATCCGGCAGCTCTTGAAAACAGCACTCTTGCCTCACACGGTAACGCGAATCATGAACGGACTCGACAAGATCTAATCCACGGTCAAATATCTGAAAAATTTCCTGTCCGTGTTTCCGTCAACTGCCGAATTCGCGCCATCCGCATGGTCCTATTTCTGATACGCGGAACTTGCGCACAGGCCATAAGGAGGACACGTGCGGAAAAGGGCAATTCATGCTACATAAACTTAAGGATAGCCCAGCAATTGTTGCGCTCTTCAATAACAAGTCAGGGACTCGAATATACCCGATTTAAAATGAAAAAAAGCATTTTGATCATAATGCCATAAACTGTATGGATCGCAACGTTCTCTGAATGAAAATACAGCTTATATTAGCATTAGGATTGAGCAATATGCTGTATTTTGTAGGGATGAATTCTGACCAGATGGGACGCATCGCCTATACTGTAATGATATTTTGGATACTGTTCAAATGAAAAATAATTTTATGATGGAATAAATGACACATGAGTACTGAATTTGTATCCATGGATGAGGTACCGCTTGCCTCCTTTGCTTCTAGTTACACTCCCTTCTACCAAAGCCGGGTGGTTCGGAAAGTGGCCACCCAGGTTGTGAATGAAGGACGAGTTGGTTGAATTAGTCGACTTGGTCGTGGTTCCCACAGTGGGGGAGGGGATTGTGTACAACTCCGGAGTCAGAATTTTGTTCACTAATGATGTTAATGTTTGTTTAATCATAGGGAAAGTTTGGCGGTAGTTCAGCTGATATTTGTCCGTGATTCGATTCGCCATGGCTCTCCGCGTGCAGTTCGAAAATAACAACGAAGTTGGCGTGTTTTCAAAGCTCACGAATAAATATTGCCTTGTTGGGTTTGGAGCCACTGAAACTTTTTACAGGTGAGAACGACCCACGTGTCTCGCGTGATATATTGGATTGTTTGATGACATCTAAATCTACTTTTACAGCGTTTTTGAAGCGGAGTTGAGCGACATAATCCCCGTTGTTCATGCATCTGTTGCTGATTGCCGAATTATCGGCCGATTAACAGCTGGTTTGTTACCCCACATCATCGTTTATGTTCCCCTTGGATGATAATCGAAGTATTTTTCTAGGCAACAAGAACGGTCTGTTGGTTCCCAGTACGACTACTGACCAAGAGTTGCAGCATCTGCGAAATTCGCTGCCAGACGAAGTTGTCATTCAACGAGTCGAGGAGCGGTTATCCGCCCTTGGGAACGTAATTGCGTGTAACGATTACGTCGCTCTCGTCCATCCCGATATCGACCAGGAAACTGAGGAGATAATCCATGACGTCTTGAAGGTCGAGGTTTTCCGAAGAGATGTTGCTGATCAGCACCTTGTTGGATCTTATTCGGTTCTCAGTAATCAAGGGGCATTAGTGCATCCGAAAACATCTTCACAAAGTCAGGACGAACTTTCGGCTCTCCTGCAAGTCCCGGTTGTGGTAAATTATTTTATTCATCCATCATAAATTCTTTCATCCTGTTGTGTGAAATTCTTAAGTTTACAGAATGAGTCCGACACTTCCAATTAAACAGCAAAGCAACGGATCATAAGATTGCATAATGCATGTTGAATTAATTTCTTACGACGAAAGATGTGGCAAGAATTTTCAATCTTGAACAAGTTTTAATTGGATAGTCAATTTTGATGTTGATATTGAGGTCAATTAGATGAAAAGTTAGCTCTTTATTAAATCTGGATGATATCGATATGTTTGTACGGATGATTTCCACGGTTATATCTGTTCGGTCTGAAGTTTTTTTTTCTGTCGAACTAATTTTCGATACTTTCGGGCGCGACTTCACTCGGATTAATCTGGGCTTTTGATCTGAAGCATATCTCATGAATCTGACATTCTAGAAGGAATCTCAACGGAACTCTTGATTTTCTTGTGAAACTTCAAGAGTATCATGGTACAGACTTCAGGGATCATTCAGAAATTGCACTTGGCAGAATCTAACATTTTTCCCTAGATGCAGAACTGTTCTTTTGAAAATATTCCTGTATGCTGAAGCTTTTTCATTGACCAATCTAGTCCTAGAATTCATTTACCTTTATAAAAACCGGAGGGGTTCGGCATGAAAATAAATCAGTCAAACTTCATGAGTCGTACTGAGCGTTTGTGGCCATATCATTGACAATTTTCCTTCGACTTCCAATCATTGATGCATGTTATAGGCAGGGAGCGTAAACAGAGGATCGGACGTTGTTGGCGCTGGAATGGTGGTGAATGACTGGTGTGCTTTTTGCGGTCTTGACACAACGTCGACCGAGTTGTCAGTGATCGAGAGCATCTTCAGAATTACAGACGCTGGACCGGAAGCTGTCAGAACCACGATGAAGCCATCGTTGATTGACACGTGAGTAAATCGATCTTCTTCGAGCGAAAGAACAATTTTGATGTTCATTTTTTAATGATTATTTTTTCAGATTGGCTTGAAGAACTGGTATCGTTCCATGCATGTTTTGGAATAATTCGCTCTCCGGAATTCCGCGTGAAGTGTATCTTTTTCCATCGGATGTTTAAACGGAGGATTAAATGTTCTGCCCGGTCAGGAGTGCGTTTTTCTTTTTCTTGCTGAGCATGATTGGAAATTGCTTTTTGACCCTGCTATCCTGAAACCACAGGTACGCTTCGAATCGTTCAGCGTTGTTCAGGTTTTCGGAAAGTGTGTGAAATCGATTGCAGCAAGGATGGATGGTTCAGCACCTGGCAGTAGTCATGACAGTGTACCTAGGTAAGTTTAATCGACATGGCAACAGTTAATTTTTATTTGCATCTGTTTATGATTCCCCGACGAATCTTCTTTTTTGGTCTGGTTTTGAATTTTTTCATCTGGTCATAGTGACGCGGAGAACTGGTCGGAAGAAGATTGCAAAAAAGCATTGTATCAAGGAGAAATATTACTTCTGCGATACCGATACCAGGAGGCTGTTGATAAATTGGAGCTGTGCGTA